ACCGAGCTGAAGGACTGAGACCCCTCAAAAGAGAAGGTCCCACCTGGGATTGCTGCTAGGACAGAGTCAGGGACAAGGCTCTGCAAAGCATATACAATATACGTCCATAACGCCATGACAAAACAGGGCTGTGTTCCTTCGAGCAGACTGACTTCCTCCAACACTAATCTTTCAGCAATGGCCTGGGTGTCTGCAGAGGCTGGTATGCAGACCACTGAAAGGGGCCACTCAGGAGAATGCTGTCAGCCAAACATGCAGTGGCATTCAGGCAGTGCAGGACTATTTGAAGCCAATGGCCCAGCCTGGGCCACACTTTCTATTTGTTTTTACACGTTGTGAGCTAAGTTTGGGCATGGTATGCTCAAACACACAAGCAAGCCTCTGTCTGCCTCTAAAAGGACAGGGGGGATTGAAAAGGGAAAGTACACTTTTCAGGCAAAGTCAGGTTCAAATTATGAACCAGCTTTTCATTTTAGCAGGAAATACTTGATCCTCCTGCACCTTCATTCGGCAGGGCCCACAACATGGCTTTGAGGGGAGGCAACCCCCAAAGAAAATACAGTTCATGTGGAGAAGGTAAAGCAAAGCCTGTATGTGCAACTGATTTGTAAATGAGAGATGCTTAAAGAGATCAATTTTGAAGACCAAATATTATTTTTAACCCTGTTTCCCCAAAGATGCTCCAGACATTACTGTGGCCTGACATAGCTCTACCTGCCCCAGGGGTGCTGATAGATGCAGGGCTTGATGCTTGCGTTGCCTTCAGTCCTTGTCTGTGGCTTTGTGCTTTCCCTGGTTGTGAAGATTTCAGTTTCACGTTGCTCTATGGATCCACCAGTGAATCCATGAAAGTGGATTATGTTTTTTAATAGTAGTTAGAGGTTACACTGAAAAAAAGTGTTAAAACAACATCATTTTTAGCCTGAAAAGCACACGCCATTATGGTGACAATAACAGTGATGTCAGAAATTTACCAGTTATTAGTCACAAGTGATTTGGTTTAAAAGCGACCTGATTCGGTTCAGAAGTGATCCCAAAGTTCTACAATTTAGCCTAGAGCTAGTCTGAGGTCCATTAAAAGTTATAGCAACTGTTTATCCTTTATCTCCTATTTCTTCCTCTCTCCACCTGATGGTTTCATGGAGGGTAGGAAGCAGGAGCTCTGAAACACTGGAGTAAAGCCTATATTCATAATACTGCTTGGAATAAAAAAAGCCCTGCCGGTAAGTGTGTATTCAAAACCTTGCTCCACTGTGTCTGGAATGGCGAAAACAATAAATGCTCCTGTCGGAGAGAATATTCTAGCAAATCTACCTTTCCCCATCTCCAGAGCTGCAGTTTCTGCCCCTACAAGAGTGGCTTGGCTCTTCTAGGTGATGTTGATTAGAGAGGCAGAAGGTGTGTTGTCTACAGAGCTCATTTTGCCAGTACAAACTGAGTCTCTAATAGAGGGGCTTTCTTGCTGTAACCTCATGAATCAAACTTTGATTAGTGGTAATGTAGGTGTCTGCTGTCTCAGTGCTGAACACCTCTGGAGCCCTGGAGGGACGGTGGCCATCTGGTGCTGTGCTCAGCACAGGCTGTCACTGGAGACACGGATGGGACAGAGCTGTCTCTCTTGGGGGAAGACAATTTTGAGGCTTGGGGACTAATATTAGGCATCTGCACTCGTTCAGCTGCAGTCGTGACCAGAGGAAGGCAAAGTTTTCAGAGCTATGAATATCGCGGAGTCTGTGGTCAGGGTGAGGGCTCCGAGGCAGACACAGATGGCAGGGCACCTTCTGCTCTGCTCATAGGGTAAGGGGGGAAAATGGCAGAAATGTCTCCTGTCCTAGGTAATGGGGAGGTCAGTGCACAATTCAGACTAGACAGCAGGGTTCTGACCCTGGACAAGCCCTAATCTCACCTAAAATTGGGGAAATTAAAACAGGCAAGACCAATGCTGTACTGAGTTTTTCAAAGTTTATAATAAACACCCACCAACCGTGCTGAGATCACAAAGTGGTTCCAGGAGATGTGGCTGTTCTTCTGTTTTGTTTAAAAAAAAAAAAAAAAAAAAAAAAAAAAAAAAAAAAAAAAAAAAAAAAAAAAAAAAAAAAAAAAAAAAAAACAAAAAAACCCCGAAGACCCAACCCCAAAAACGCAACCCTACAGCAATTACACTTGAAGAAAACGAAGGCGAACCCCCTCAGTGGGTAAGGAACTTTGAACATATTCCCCTTCACACTTAAAGACTGACAGAAAGATACAGCTTTAAAACAAATAGGAGATCACATTTTGGGGGCTTCAGCCCAAACTCTTCAGCACTGTGATGATACATGACAACATCTTTACCTCTGGAAGTAAGTAAAACCTATCTGGAGGTAGCACTTCCCAGCTGCTGCCATGGGTTTGCTGCAGGAGATCTCTTGTAACAGGAGACCCATAGCTGTATTATGTCAAAGTTACTTTATTTCTCATCCTAAAAAGAGGCAGAATCTGTAAAATCTCATTCTGGGGAGGAGTGACACCAAACTTACTTCCATTTCATTCTGCATAAAAGATGTGTCCTTGAAATCTGGAGCTGTTCAGAAGCCAGGCAGGTTTGAAGTGGACTGCAGAAATATAACTTACGGTGATGCCACCTTTTGCCAACACTACAATTTCAGCATCTATAAATTTCATATTTTCCTTGCAATTAAGTCTCTCCTCACAAACTGAGCAGCCTGTGAATCCACAGGCACTGGTTATCTTCCCAGCTCCCTTCTGGCCAGCAGTGTGGCCATGAACCGGGGCATTTCCAGACACATTTCTCAGATTCCCATCTGTAGAAAAGGGATAATAATACCTGCCCACCTCTGCGGAGCCCACTGAGGCCCCTGGATGGAAAGCTGTGTAGAAGGAAAGCAGACCTCTCTAGTCCTGGTGAACATTGCTTACTATGGGCTCAGCTGTGTCGGCCTGGCTGGTTTTTCAAGGAAATTTTCAACTGGAGTTAAACCTGTGGACTTCAACTGAAATAAAACATATCCAACCGACCATATGCAGCCCTAGGCTGGAGCCACCAAGAGCTGGCTTAAAACAGACTCAACTTCCACTCTCTCCCAGGACACTCAGCCTTCTAGAGTTTTTTTTTTAGCATTTAAGCATTTCTCTCGAAGTGGTGGATGGTGGAGAGCAGAAGTTTTCCGCAGCAGCGTGAGCTCTGACTCAAAGCTGGTCCCAAGGCTGCTCTCAGCCTCCTGCCAACCACAGGGCAGGAGCTGTACTGCTGTCATCAGGTTTTTGAAGAATGTGAGCCGATCTTCTTCCCCAGCTTGTTTATGAGATTGGCTGAAACACAGTGTAATCATTAAACAGTGCAAAGCAAAAGAGAATCCTTTCCCTTTTCTTTTTCCACTCAGCTGTGCTTAGCTCTTCTTGCAGTTTCCCAGAAATGCAAGAATGAAAAACACAGAGGCATCGTTAAGGGGGGGGCTAAAAACCTGGGTCTTAAGTAATAAACTGTCAGATTTGGTGAGATTCCAAAGAAAATTATGGGAATACGCAACGAGGCCCAACTGTGCTGACCCTGCCCTGCCCTGAAATGCCTTTGTGCTGCAGAGAGGCTTGGCTCTGGGGGGGGACCCTGGGCATAAAGGCACGGTCAATCGTTTATGTATCATCTGATTTAAGTTGCCAGTTGACCTGTCTTAGATGCAGTGTCTCCAGGGATATCCAGCTACTTGTATTTCATACCATTGCTGCCCAGAACTCCTGACTTTCTCTGCAAAAGCCTCACTGTGGAACTTCAATGGTATTTGAGAACATCCACTCAGCCAGTCTGTCTGGCTTTCCAGCTTTCCAGCACACCTCCCAGAACACAGCCGGACGTGTCGCACTCTGTACAGATTTGGAGGGCTAGAGAAAAGCTATTTCCTGGCATTGCGGTGGAATTTGTGCATTTAGTTTCATAAGAGCAATCAAGAAAACTCTCTGCCTAAGCACCTTAGGGCCCTGATGCTATGCTGGCTAGGAACACTCCTGGAAGCACAAAACAATAAACTCAGCGAGTACATTTCGGATGCTGAAACCAGGCATGCTGGCACACAAGTCCTCCAAGAGCTTGTTGAGCGTGCCCAACTCTTTTGTTAATTTGGCTGCATTTACTCGCTGGAGAGCTGTCACCCTGCTGTGGCATACCAGGCCTTTCTCAGGAAGCCAGGAACTCAGGTCAATCTGCTCCACAGAAGGTCTAAAGCATGATTTTTCTGTTCCATAGGGTGGGGAAAGGGGAAAAAGAAAGAAAAAAATTGTATCTATCGGAATAGTAATAAATATATAGCAAAGAGCACATTTTAATAAGTCAAAGCAGGGGTAGACAGTCTGACGTCTTGCACAGTGGCTAAGTCACCAGGCTCAGATCTCTCTGCTGCTTTTCTTTTCCAGGAGCTGATTAACATAAATCACATCAGCTGTCCCAGGAACCCGGAGCAAATCTGCAGATCTCTCAGCCAATGACCCTGACCCTTGGAGTTCCACCATCCCCAGAGTCCAGTGCTGCTCAAGAGTCGGCTCCCAGGAACACTTCCAGGGAATGGTGACTTTGCTGGCAAGGAACGAGCCGCTTCAAACTGAGGAATTTGGACGCTTCACTGCAAAAACAGCGGGTCAAGTTTAAGGTGAAATTCTTGGCCCCCTGCTTTTGTTTCTGGTGATGTTTGTGGGACGAAGCTGTGCCCTGCTTCAGATCCCTCCTCGCCCCGTACACCTCACTTGCTGGACACCACCTGCCCGAAGCAGCATTTGTGCTTACATTTGCCATCTGGGATGTGCAAGCAGTTAAAGATCTGTCAGAAAAGCAACACAATTTTGCTTTCTTTATTATTGAGAAATCAAAGACCTCATGTGACTTTGTAGATGACTTAACACATTTGTAGAACAGGAAGGAAGTCGAGCTGCACTGTTCGCTTCGCTTTTCAGTGCGGCGGTTGCTGCAAATTCAACCTCATTAACTCACAGCTGTGTGGAGGGATCAGAAAATGACTGCCCAAATGACCACCGAGCCCCCCAGATGTTGCTTCTTCAACATCAAGACAGCAACAATCGCTTTAGGGATCTTTCACATGGTAAGTTACAGGACTGAAAGGGGGGACGGGGAGAGGGAGACAAGAAGAGACGGGGTGGTGTGATCTTTGCAGAAGGTGCAATTGCTGCAGATCACAAGGTTTCCTGTTGACTTTTCTGTGTTCCCAAAAGAGAAAAACCAACGATTTTGGAGGGATGAACAGAAGAGGAGAAGGTGGCAGGGTGAGGAGTGGGGGGAAGGAAGGAATTTATTGTACTGGGAGAGTTTTTTATCTATTTGTTCCCTGACTGTAGCAATTGGAGCTCGTGGAAGCTCACTCTGCTTCCTGTTCTTCCCTTGCAGCTTAATGCAGGAGCTCTTACCCGTGCAGGGGTGTGTAGGTTGGCCAGGTCTCAGCGCAGCTACCTGGACCTGTTGGTTAGAAACTGGGCAGCACATTGGCAGTGGAAACTGTGGGAGTGCTGAAACTACGGGTTGCTGGAGGGAGGATGGATTTGGGCCCCAGGCAAGCAAAGGGCGGGTGGGCAAAGCTGCGTCATCCCTCCCTCTACAGCCAGTTGGACACTATACACACTGTTCTGGTTTCCGTTTGGATCTGTGGCTGCGTTCAGCTCCCAGGCAGCTGGCATAACTGTTCGGGGGTGGGCACAGATGGCAGCGAGCAGAGGCAGCAGAGCCTGGAGGGACATTTCTTCCCCTCCACCTGGCTGCACAGAGGTGCTTTCAGGTGGCTTGAAGTCATACTGAGGATGTGGTTTCTTGCATAGCAGAGGCACTTAAAATAATCCCATCTGTTGCACTCGGTGTGTGCAGTCATGGGTTGGGAGCCTGCAGAGTGGTAACGGTTAACGGGGGCATTTAACCCCCTCCTTGCACACAAGTGGAGTGAGGGGAGCTGTAGCCTGCAGGTACGTTCTGGGCAAAGCAGCTGTGGCAGCCGTTGCACGCATGGGAAGGACAGGCCAATGTGTCCCTGCAGCACCAGCCAGCTTTCCTGGGGCAGCAGGAGCACACCAGGCATGTCCTCGCTGCCTGAGCAAACCCTCGCTGCACCAAAGCCCCCTCCTGACCCACACACAGCCAAGACAGGGGTTTGACGTGCTGGTGTCATGGTTTTGGCTTCCACGATGCCATTCCTGCATACATCGGTGGAGGATTTGACTCATGAAAAGAAAGGCAAAAAAATCTGGCGATTTGTTTAGCTGCTTTTTTGGATAGTAAGATAAAGGGAAAGCATTCAGTGAATTGTGGGAGTTTATAAACATGCCAGCAGCAGCAGCACTGTGGGTTGCTGGAGGAGGCAAGCGAAGTGGGTACCTTAGCTTGGGTGCAGTGCAGCATCTCTGCACCTCCCTGGTTTGGGGCAGGAGATGGTCCCATGCCAGCTCAGAGTAGGAGAGCAGAGAAATTTGGGTCTATACTGCATCTTCGTGCAGTGTAACTGCCAACATCTTTTCCCTGGCATTACTTGAAAGCTAGGCACTCTAGTGGCATTTCCATGCCATGTTTTAGTCATTTGGGGACCCCAGAAATGTTATGAGATTGGTTAAAAGAATCACGCGATTTTATAACCTCTTTTGCCTTCTGCTTTTTGAGCATCTAGATTACACCCTGGGCAGGCTACTTGTCTTTTTGCCACAAGCTCAAAGCTTATAATCTCTCTGCTTTAAAGAAAAAGAAGTTGCTGCATTTCTTGTGCATTCTCATGACCCCAAGACACAAAAATTGAAACTTATGAAAGCGGAGAGTTTGCAGCAGACCACAAGCAATTTCTGGCAACCAATTAAACATATAGCCATCACAGAGGGATGGTCATGAACTGTTTGGAAATGAGACCCTCGTAGGAAGTATAGCCAAGATCTGAAGCAGAGCTGGCAAAATTAAAGGCCTGTTCAAAGGTGGGAAACACAAGACAGGGAACTACAACATTTTCTCCAGAGAGCTACAAGCTCACTGGGCGACGTGAGCTACCTGTTATCAGTGGTGAAACACAGGTACAAAAAACGAATTATTTTTTCCTAGCTGGGAGGGTGAATCATAAAAGAGCCTCCTTTGTCTCTCTCAGAAGTCAGCAAACGCTTTGAACAGAGGCACATTTTTCTCGTCAGTATTTCACCATGATGCCACTAACAACAGTAAAGATTCCCAATTTGCACCAGTGTGTGATGGAAGAGAATGAGACACCACTCTCACTGAGGTGCCTAAGAGGGAAAACTTCATTACCAGTGATATCATATGAAAGGTGTGTTATTTCAGAGAAGTTTTGTGGGTCTGTTGAAGACATCTGGTAAATTTTGAACAGTGACCAGGCAGAGCAGGCAAGAGAAGCTGCTTTTCCTTGCAAAATGCAAAGGCAGAAGCCATAAGACAGCTGTCCTGAGCCAGCCCTGAAGTCCGGCAGCCTCCCAGCCTGTCTCCCGCAGCAGCTAGCAGCAGCTGCTTAGAGAAGAAGGTATTGGAAGCAGGACAGATACCAAGTGATCCTTGCCTTGTGCATCCTCTGCAGGCAGTACTTCAGAGACTTCTTGAGCTTACATGGAAACTATCACGTTTTCTAGCTGTTGTGCTCACTAATCTCTAGCTCTGTTCTGCTCACATTTCCTTTTCAATCATTTCTTTTCCCTCTTTGACAAATTCTAGTGTAACAGGGCTCTCTGTGAGCAGAGGCTGTTTCACACACAGTCTTTTTATTGCTGTGAATGTTCTCCCTCTCCTGACTGTTAGCAGTGGAGACACAGTTAAAATCAGAAATTATGTGTGGTATGCTTAGTTCTAGTTTATACCTTTCCCTATATGAATAAAAGGATAGGTGTCTGGAACAAAACAGGTAGATTGTCTGCACTGCTAACTAGAAGAGGGTAGAGGACTGGTCCTGGGCCCTGAAGCCAAGCGATGCTGCCTGGCCTGGGGTCACCCCCTTCTGGAGGAGATTTGAAGAAAAGTGATTGGAGTGATCCAAACCAAAGCCAGGGAGCAAGCTATGTAGGGCACTACGGGCAATCAGAGGTCTAGTGCTGAAGCTTCCCATTGATTCTCTTTTAAGTGGGACAAGTCTGCACTGAGTGTGAATGTGACTCTGAGACCATTTTCAGAACAGACTTGCCTATCAGCCACAGCGTGTCTCAAGCACATTCTCATGCAAGGACTTAGCAGTAATACTCTGCCTAATATTTTATCGAGAACCAAACACTCACATTGGAGTCAAAGCCACCTGCATGTGTCCCCTTTCTGCTCTGCCAGGGCATGATTTGGCTTCACCCTGCACCTGACAGATCACAAGTAAGATGAACTCAGCATGGAATCTCACCATGGTTTTGGAGAGGATCCTGCAAAGCCACAGCTCTGCTCTCCCTCTGCCCACACTGGTAATCCCCGTTGCCAGGGCTGCCTGGGTAGGAAGCATCCCTGCGTCTCTAAATGACGGCTCTTGCGCACTTCAATCACCATCACAGTGACCAGCTGGATGTGGCTGGTGGTCAGGAGGGTTTGGGGTCACCCTCACAAACTTTGCGGTCCGTCATTGCAAAACCAGAAGAGTGATTACCAGAGATATGCACAACCATGATGTACAAGATCATTGCAGTGCCAGGGAGTATTAGCAACTAACATGAGACCTGGATTTAGATGAAGGATGCAGAGATGCCCTTGAAGGCCACGACTGATACAGTAAAGGGTACGGGGAATGGGCAGGGGCAGCCTGAGCTCTTCGCGCTTCAACCCTGCTGCTGCTGGCTCCTGACAGAACAAGCATCACTGCAGTACCAGAGCCTGTAACTCCCCAAGTCCCTGCGGGTCCCACTGTGTCTGTACCTCCTGTATCATCTCAGAGGGTTTCTTTTACACAGAACCCCTTGGGAAACAGTTTCATTCTTGGATAAGGTTGTCTTGTCTTCATTCTTTTAGAGATAACACAGAATAGCTGCCATTTTTTTCCCTACCTCTTCTCCACCTTCTTGCTCAGGTATCTGCAGCTGGGCAGAGAGAGGAAAAAAGAAAAGGGGATTTATAACTCACCTGTGACTTGGATGATTTGCTACATCAATACTGTTCATTTGTATCAGTGTAAATTATTGTTGTGGGTCCTAGTGATGAATCATAGTGATGCTAGGTGATTGTATTGCCATCAAACACAAGCTCTCATGCTTTGTGGTGATGCCTTGTCCCCCTATAAATTAGAATTGCCTCACTGCTGATCTCTCTATAGACAGTTGGAATAAATTGTGGGCGTTCTCAAACAGAGAGGGAAGGAGAAGGAGCAGAACAAGGGGACAGAGCTGTGTGATTAGCAAAGCTTCACTGGGTGTTGTGAGGTGACTCGCAGGTGACTTTCAAAGAAAACACAGAGGAATTTGTCCTGCTCATTGGCTCTTCCAAGGCATAAAGAGACCTCAAGTTATTTGACATTATCTTCAAGAATGAGGCTGGAAAGATGTTTCTGTGCATACAGCATGGCAGAAAACCTGCAATTCATTTGCTACTAGTCCTTGATCAGAGCCAAGGAGATCCTAGAAAGGCCCATGTCTGTAGCTTGGTCTGGCCTCTGTTGCAGCCAAGCTCTTCTCTTCAGCAGCTCTTTAACTCAAGGAGTAGAGTCTTCTCTCTTGGACCTTCCCCAGGTCCAGTCCTCACCTATGGACATGACTCATACTGGTACATAGCTGTGATTCATTGCACCTTCACGTGGATGACCCAAGATGTTTAGCAGACCCTATGCTGCTCCCTTGTCCTCCCTGAGCATCCCTGTTGCACAAACAAGAGGGGGAAAAGCAGGCAGCAGGAAGAAAAAAGATGAAATATTTTAAACAAAACCAAATGGGAGCTAAAAGCACTCCTCACTTCATCCTGCCGTGCCACAACAACCACTTTTAAACTGAAGTAAGAAAAAGTGAAGCACTGAAACAACAGCATTTCCATGTGGTGCTATTTGCCGTCAAAGTGCTGGATGTCTCCTGCTTGCATGCTCCACTGTCAGAAACCTTCGCAGCACCCACTACACTGTTGGAGCAGCAAGTCTCTGTCCCCAGTCACCCCTGTTCATTATGGCTTCAAGCTCTTCTTCCAGAAACACTGGGTGTGAAAAAAAACAGGAGCAGCCATCACAGCGAGGCCATGCAAATAAAGATAAATTATTTGGAGATTAGTCAAGCTGCACATATTTCAGGAAAAAAGGCACATGACACAGCCTCTAACAGCAGTTTAATACTACTGCAGCTGCAGCAAAATTACTCACCAGGGAACAGGGGCTGCATGCGTCATGCTGTTAAGTTCTGCCTTGCAAGACACCCCAAATTTAGCTGCCTTGGTTTAACGACTGGCTCTACCTCAGTCCTACGCTATTTAGCTAAGTCACTTCATTTCCTGGTGTTACAAATCTTTTCCCAAGAAACCTGGAGCATTCCTTTTAAACGGAGGCTGCAATAAGATAGGAGATGTCCTCCAAAAGTTGCAGCTGTAGGAGATAAAATCAGAAGGGTGGAGGGACTGGGAGACTCCAGCACACCAAGAAAGCTGTGAATTGAGCACTGGAACGTGAAATATCCTGTTTTAAGCCTGCCTCTCTCCTATCGTGACATAGCAATAAGAAAGGGTACCAGACGCTTCTCTGAGCAGTCCCATCTGTCTGGAATGGGAAGCTTTTGGTTTCTTCTGGAGCTGAAGGGTGAATCTCAAGTGACAATATATGCGGCCTTGCAGAGCAAGGTGTGCTAGGCAGACTCCACATCAATCTTCCTCTACCTTCTTCTCACACTGAGGCAAGCAGCTCACTGTACAGGTTTTGTCACCTTGTATGTATATTCTTCAGGAAGAAATGAGATTGTCACATGCTAGCCAGCAGCATGTCAAACCCAAAGTTAGGAGATGGAGAGGTATCCTGGTTCTCACACAGCACTTGTGATGGAAAGCCGAGGGACAGGCACACTGATCTTTGTCTTATCTGGTTGCAGTTCAGTGGCTCATTCTTTCTATGCAAAAGCCCTTTTAAATGGAAAGTTTAAACCAACATTCATGTTAAAAGTCTTGCCCTTAATCTTTCAGCTTCAGCTTGGGTTTTCTGTCAGACGTGTACTTACTCTATGTGACTACCTTTGGTCTCGTTGCGTGGTTCATTTCAACACTTGAAAGGAAACCAGGAACTCTTTCGCTCTACTGTTCCCCTCTTTGATAGACATTAGAGATTAGAGATGGTTCTTCATATTGAAGTTTAGGCTCTGGCTCTGCTCTGTCTGTAAATCCATCTGGGATGGGAGCATTTGGGATCTGATGTTGTCCTTTCACTTGGCTTTCAGGAATGAAGCTGATATTTAGGGCTCAGGTCATCCATTTTTCTCAGGCCTCCATTTAACAGAAACCTGAAAAAGCAATTTCTTCCTATATTTTCCATGTTGAAATCTGAGGTGTTTGACCAACAGCAGCAATAAGGGAAGCGAATTCTCTTCAGGAACACGTACATGAAACCTCTTAGACCAGTTAGGACATTTGAAGCCAGCATGTGATCTCCATGGGTAGTCAGTCAAAATATCCTTTACATCCCAAGGGAGACTGTCAAGTGTAAAGAAACTGCAGATCAATATAATTTCATTCTTGAGAAGGTTCAGTGCTTCCATGGAACTTCAAACACTGTTACATTACATCGAATTAATTTTCTTATGTCCCCATGAAATGAGACCTAGATATTCCTCTTTTTCCTGTCATCAGCCTCACGAACAAATTGCAAAGTTCATTTACTGCATGGCAAAAAAATGAAAAAAAGCAATGTGTCTCATGTAATTGTACAATCTGATCAGACAGGCCAGGAGAAAACATGACACATCCTTTTTTCCAACTCAGACTCTAGACAGATTTAAAATTCGGAGGGAAGGCTACTGGTGGGACCCAGGGTCCCCGTCCCCACTGCGGAAAGAGGGTGGGCTTGGTGGACGCTCATTCTGGAAGCAAAGGGCTCTGGGGGATGTGCTGCAGCGTTTCTGGAAACTGCACTTGCAGCTTGTGGTGCAGAAAGTTGATGAATTGGGTTTTGAAGGTAGTTTCTAGGCCTCCTGCAGCTGATGCAGAGACATTGGGAAAGTCTGCGTTCAGTTCTTGTCTGTGCCGCAGGCCATCCCTCCCAGCCTTGCTTCCCCATTTCGGGGCAATGCGAGACCTTTCTTTCCAAGCCTCTTTGTTCTGTTTGCTTGCAACATGAGCCCTAGCACAGGAGGCACCTGGCTATACGTTAGTCCTCTCTGAACGCTGCCTAGATCTTGTATGGCACCTCCAGCCACCGCTGTGCAAAAGACAAAAAATATTCTCCCTTCTGCTTGCCTAACAGTTACGTTTGTCTCATCTCCCCTCAGTAGCTGGTTTTGTGCTGTTTCCCATACGTAAAGTTTGCAAACACGACTGCAAACCACAGCAGTTCCGGTTCCTCCTTGCCTGCATCACTTCTTGAAGTGGTTGTTGAAACGAAAGGCTGCTATAGCTATTGTGGAAAAGTTGTTTCAGCTTCCACGGTACTGCAGCTTGTGTTGATCTCGGTGACAGATAGAAACTCGCTTCCTGCGTCAGTGTGGTGTTCAGATGACTCACAGACAGAGGTTGGGCAGTCCAAATAAAATGGCTCCTGTCGTTCACCTCTTCACCACCATCTCTTTTTTACTGATGGCTCCCATCCCTGGAGAATAGTCTGCAGAATGGGTGCTCCCAGTGCTGGACCTGGTGTTGGCGGGGTGTAGACAGAGAGTTGTGCTGGCACAGGTTTCTCCATTTTTTGGACACCTCGGGGTTTCCTCTCCTGCAGACTCTGTTCCCACATCTCAGAGGAAAAAATGCACAGGGCATTGTGGTCCTTGCATTTTTCCTGGTCTGACTCCTGCTCTCTGCTCTCAAGGTGTGCCCTGTTGTTGTGGCCAGAGGTCCTCCTGGACAGGGGCACAGCTCAGGCAGAGAAGAAGCAGCAGCTCTTTGCACAGCAGCAGAGAAGTCAGAGAGCTTGTCCAGGCAGTGAGACGCAGCTGCGGGGTGACAAGTCCATGTTTCCTGCATTAACATCATCAGGCTTCCTTCTCAAACACCCAAGCTGTTAAGCCAATATTAAAAGAGTACAGCACACACTATGCTGCTTTTGGAAAGTGCAGCTGTAGGTATAGGACTGGCAGACCATGCTGTGCTCCAGCCTAAAAACGCGGAAGAAATGAAAGACCTACCAAGCATGAGCGAGGACAGCAGAGATCGGAGAATGAGGAAGAAAATGATGAACAAGATAGAATGCATGGTGAAGTCAGAAATGTGCCATCTCACTATACAGGGCAGAAACTGTCAGTAAGGTGATGAAGAAGCAATATACGGCATCAGAGCAGTCCTTTACCCCAAGAGGAGTTACTTGCTCTGACAACACTGTGGGTAGCGACTGATGCTCCGTTGTGGCCTTGTACTTCTTGTTCTTGGATCTGCAACAAGTTTGATCCCCTTGGCACGTGCTGTCTGTGGCAAACAGACTGGCAGGTTGGGATAGTCCCCAGGAGGGATGTGGTGGGGTGTCTGGCCTTGTGGCTATTCGTTTCCTGGTTTTACTTGCACAGAAATACCCTGGACCTACTGTCTGAGGTGTGCCCTGGTGAGGTCTCTAACCTTATGGAGGTCTTCTGCAGACCCTGACTGCCCAATGCCCCACATGCAACAGGAGCTCTCCCTAACTTGGGGGTTAGAAATTGATTTTTCACTGCAGATCCTCACTATTTGGGTATAGAAGTTCAGTGCTAGGACAGAGACCATAGCTCTAGACCTCACGCCATCGCACAGCTTGCTAAACTCAGAATGGAATGAATCCTGGAGTCTGGGGTTTGATAGTCCAATTCGGAAACTTGGAGAAAATAATTTTGTTTCAATGTGAAAAAAGTCCATTTGGAGATTTTTCTCAAATAAATAAAACAACCAAAGTGATACTTTTGTCAATGATGTAGTACAGCTAGACTTACAGAGAGATCTTTATTCTTCGTGTGGTTTTTTTACACTTTAAAATATTATTGTTACATGTAGCTCAATTTTGAAGCAAAATGTAATTTCAAAACGTAAATCCAGGACTTTCTGGATAAAAAATTTTGAGAGGAAACTCGTTAACTTCATAATTCCTCCATCCTCCTTCAGAAGCTGGCAGAAAAAGATAGTTAAACCCAAACCATTAATAAACGCATAACTTTAGCCTCAATATTTCCTTGTACAGGATTATGAGCCCTTCATGACTGTCTCACTTGGACACCCATCCTGCATTTAGGACTGTGGCCACTGCATGCTCCCTGGAAACAAATTTGTTGATGGGAAGTTGGCCCAAGTCCCACTGAATTGTGTCTTTTGCTTTTCTTCTCCTAGGTTATGAGTGTTTTGCTGCTGATTGAGTACTCCCTGGAGGTAGCGAGCGGGAAAGGCTTTTGCAAAGACCTGGACAAGGATTACTACAGAACTGGTAGGTCCCGGGGATGCTGGAAAGCATAGAGGTCTGTGGGGTTGGGAGGGAGCCCAAGGATGTGCATTGGTCCCTCTTTCTTCTTCATCAAATAAAATTGGAAATTCAGAGCAGATGAGTTCAAAGCTCAGACCCAAAGACAAAATTTAAGCTCTAAAGATTTGGATTTTGTTTTAGGACATGGCTGTGTTGGCTTTTGGGAGGCCAGTGTGGACCCTAGTGAAGTTGCCTTTACTTCAGTGGGTCAGGTCCTCAGCCCAAACTCTCCAGTTCCCTCATACTCCTCTAGCTCTGCTTCTCCCTCTGCAATACACTTTGCATTAATCTGACAATCCTGGTTTCCACTTCTCTTTCTTTTCACCAACTGTAGATGATTTAAGCCTTACACACAGTCATGACTCCCTCCACATGTTGAGCATTTTCCAGGAAAACACTGAAGTGTCTAACCAGCTCCTCAATCGACCTAGTCTGGCCAGTAACCTCGGGATCTCAGAGTGGGGACAAATCACAGCCCCACACTACATTCCGTGGGTGCATGGGCTACCTCCTGTTGCCACCAATACCCTGCCCTCTGTGCCATGGAGCCATCCTCTTCTCATCATCCATCATGCTGTGCAGGGGTCTCCTACCTCACAGCTGAAGGCACTTCAGAGTGCCACCACCAGCCCAGCTCCTTCTCCCCCCTGTCTCTTTGGACCCTGTCCCCACAGGTTCCCAGCTCCTGGTGCTTTTGGCACCACATTTGTTGTCTGGAAGAAGCAGCCAGGCTGTTTTGTAACCCACCGATAGTCACAAGCATCATATTCACCACAGCTGATTAAATTCCTATGACTTGGAAGAATCTAGCTTAGTTTTCAGAGACCTGGCATATTTCTCATGTGGGATGCCATTTAAAAGAAAATAACTTCCCAAACCTCAAATGTTACTTAGCCAGGCTAATTTTGCATGAAGTTGTTTGGAAGCAACAAATGCAGGGTGCTTTTTCCTTTTCTTAATCACTTTTCAGTGTAAAACCACAAGTTGAGATAACCCTTCTCTGCTGACAGAAACCAGACTCCCACACTCTGCATTGTCTCTCCCTGCAGAGAAGGCTCATAGTCAGAGAAAAATGCAACCCGCAGCAGCAGGGACTTGCCTGTTCTCTGCTTTTGCAGCGTGTCCTTCCCCAAGCTGCAAGCATGCACAGAGGGGACCCCTGTAAGTGGAGGAAAAAGAAGCCAAATACAGCAGATTCCTGCACATCCCAAACTCACTTGCCTCTAGGGTAGGAGTCAGGCACAGTGGAAAGCACCAAAACAGGCACAGCCACTGTCTGGGTGAAGCTATTGCTAACAGATGGATTCCCATTTTTCAAAAGACCCCAGCTGGGTTTTAGGAGGCACCACTGTGATCCACCAAGGCTGTTTTGAAAGGCATCAGCAGTGAGTAGAAGACGGAAATTTCGGTGAGTCTTGCTAATAGGACACGGAGCAAGCATCTGCTGGTTCACATCTTTCACACTGGGCCCTGTTTCCAAAGATGCCCAGTCTGGGTGGGTTGGGGGCTGCTTTGCTTAGTTCTGGTCCACACGGGCACCTCTGCAGCTGTGGCTCAGCTCAGCACCCAGTGTGGACTTGCATGATGTCTTCTTTGGAAAACACTTTCTGCAGAGCTTTCCCATCAGGGCAACATGCAAAACACCACACAGGCTCTAAAACCCGGCTGTTTGCCAGCGGGCTGGGATCAGCACAACAGAGATAGCAGTGTGCAGTTGTCTGTTTCTGTAATATATGTTTCTAGTTCTAATTTTACAGATAAAAACTAAAGAACCTAATGTGAGTGTGACCTTAAGCTCTTCTCCATTTTCTGGGTTTGTTTTTTTTTTTTTATGGGTTTTTTTTTGTTTTGTTTTTGTTGTGATGTACCTGGCATGGACATGGGCACAACTGGAAATATTTTTTCCTGATAGCAGAGTATCCACATGCATTCTGACTAAAACAGTGATCTGAGCTGCTGAAAAATGAACATGGTATTTGTAGATCAGAATACTTTGCCACAGATATAATTCTGTAAAAATGACAATAGTTTTTCATTATTTTTTGCAGAAAGATCATCCAAAGCCAATAGTTTTTACTTTTCTTCAAGTATCTAAGGAAAATATTCTTTAAAGAAAAAGAAACAAATGGTCGAGACAGATTTTTCAGATAATTTCCGCACGAAACCATTATATGCTTTCTAAGCAAGACGTGCATTTCTGCAAATCTGGAGGCTTTTCTTTTAGAATCATTCCAAGTGAAATTGGCCCCATTTTTAACAACCCCCCGCTCCATCCCACATAGTTAAAATGACAGGTCTTCCCCCTCCCCCTCTTCCACTGCCTCCTACACAGAAAGGAACATTTTATAATGAAATCCGCAGCAACTTCCACTTGGCTTCTCTTCCCAAGCATTTCAAAGGGCTCTGCTTGGGGGACTGTGAGTGTTTTCTGATTGTAGTTGGAATAAACACAATGCAACCCTTTTATTTCCAGAAACTAGCAGGGAAGCAATACAGCAAAGCAGTGCAAAAAGTTCAATTTGACTTCAAAACCCAGATGGAAGAGTTGGAGAACAATTTGGGGAGAGGTTCTGTCGATGCCCTCAGCATCTGCTGCTCTATTTGTAGATCCTGCCAGATTTAAGCACATCTCAGAATATATAATGCTAGCACTGTAGTCATGGCCCAAGAATATAAACAAGGCAAGGCTTATGAGAAAATGCTTTTCACAAAGATACTGTAGGAAAAAATACATATTGGAAATCTTTATAAGGAATCAGAGCTCCCTCAAAATTTCTCACCAGTATGTTTTGCTGCATTAAAAAGAGGGACTGGGTTGGGCCTTGACTTCCACAGGTATGGTCAGGGAGGGGAAGGAGAATTGGGATTGTTGTAGGTTTTTGTGATTGCCAGGATAATGGGAAGGGTGACCAGGTCAGCTGCCCTTAGAAGAGGGATGCTCTGTCCCTTGCAGGCCAGTACTTCTTGCTGTCTTGACTTACAGGATGCCACAGGCAGCACAGGACCGAAAGCGCTGCTCTGAAATTTGTTTTTCAATGAAAGCTGATGAAGAGAAGAAGGACACGGAACTGTTGGAGCGGGTCCAAAGGAGGGCTACAAAAACGATCCGAGGGCTGGAGCACCTCTCCTGTGAGGACAGGCTGAGGGAGTTGGGCTTGTTCAGCCTGGAGAAGAGAAGGCTGCGGGGAGACCTGATTGGAGCCTTTCAGTACTTAAAGGGAGCCTATAGGAAAGATGGGGACAATCTGTTTAGTAGAGACAGCAGTGACAGGACGAGGGGTAATGGTTTTAAACTAAAACAGGGTAGGTTTAGGCTGGATATAAGGAAGAAATTCTTTACAATGAGGGTGACGAAACACTGGAACGGGTTGCCCAGAGAGGTAGTGGAGGCCCCATCACTGGAAACATTCAAGACCAGGTTGGACAGGGCTCTGAGCAACCTGATCTAGTTAGCGGTGTCCCTGCTCGCTGCGGGGGGGTTGGACTAGATGACGTCTAGGGGTCCCTTCCAACCCAACACTTTCTATGATTCTATGATTCTATTCTGTAAGACCTGCTGAAAATGGTGGATTAAAATGGGAAGAAGACCCAGGTTCTTTGTCTATGGGAGCTTTGAAGATGAATTTCCCATGCCTAGTGGGGTCAATGCTGGCTAACCAAAAGTAGGTCAAAACTTACTACCTAACTAATATTTAAGAAATAACACAAGATTAATTTGGCCAAGCAGAGGGAACAGGAGACAAACTTTGTTGCATGGTGATTTGGGGCATTCAGTTGCAATTTGGAAGAATTAGCTTCACATCTCTATGTTCTATCTCACCTACAGTAGAAGTTTGGATGTGCATTTCCCGTGCAGTCTCCCCCATTTCCACTCTGTTAGAGATCTCATCCTGGAGCTGAGAAGCCTTCCTAGTAAAAGTCTTTTTGGCAGTGCTTCATTCCTGAAAGCATATGAGCTTTGGCAGACTAGCTTTTCTTGATGGAAAAATAAAACCAAAAAGCAATCCCCAGAAAACATTTCAATTAAAACCTCCTTACCAGCTCTAAGCTGTTAACATGAATGGTTTTCTGCCTTGAAAATGTTACACCCCACTGCTTTCCGCAGGTCAGATCATTAGGATGTCTTCAATTCATGTCTGTGTACAGTCTGAGTGTTAATCACTTTCATTTTTCATTAATGACTATAAAAATTGAGGCTGTGGATAAAGTACAACAGGAAAAGTTGTTTCAATTTCTGTCCAGTCAGCCAAGAAAAATATCTCCGTTATGCCTGAAGACCTATCTGCACAGCATATACCATATCCTACGCATACCATTTCCTACAGAGGAAATATTGCCTTCTCCTCTGACGAAAAGTGAATCTGGCTAAAGGAGCTGGGAGGCTGCTTTCCCTTGCTGGTGCTGCCCATCCTTTGAATGCGACTGTCCAGAAACAGCTCCCTGCAGCTTATCAGCAACACCAAATCAGACACTGCTGTCCTTGACAATCTGTGAATGCAACTGTTAAACCACGGCTTTATGAGCCCTGTTTGTATTTCCCATGCCACTTTATTGGGCTATAAAATAGAAAGGGGTTTCTCTGCATTCATGGGAAATACTAGGACTCGTTCCATGTCCCTGCTGGCTACATCCAGGGCAAGAACCCTGATGCGACACTAATAAAAAAATAGACATTTGGCAAATAAATGCTCTCTCTCCCTCTTGGAGGGGTGGGGTTTTTTGATACTACTTGCTGGCATTGCAAACATCTAGTGCAGCTCTGTCGGAGGCTCTGTTGCCTGTCCCCATTCTGGGTACACCACCTCCCCAAGGAAAATGGTATTTTCTTTGTACCACATGCAAATTCCTTCTCATTCATCACTCTCAGAGAATTCGAGTAAGAAAAAGCACAACAAAGATCATGTTTATTTATTTGTTACTGATATTTATTCCTGTAAGCTTTTGGAAAAATGTGCACCTCAAAG